TTGTTGTCTCAGGTGTATCTGTAGTCTCAGGTGTACCCGTAGTCTCAGGTATAGTTGTTGTCTCAGGTGTAGTTGTTGTCTCAGGTGTATCTGTAGTCTCAGGTGTAGTTGTTGTCTCAGGTGTAGTTGTTGTTGTTTCAGGTGTGTGTCTGCAGACTGTTTCTCTGCCGGTGACAAAGACCACTTCCTGTTGTTTTGGGGGTCCGGACTTCTCCGACCTCTACGTGACCTCAGCCAGTCTTGGCCTGGACCAATCAGAGCGGAGGAAGCAGCCGCTGGCCGGGGGGGTCTTCAGGGTGAGCGGGAGCAAAAATAATGTTTATAAAAATATGAATACAACTATACAACGAGCATGATGCTTCCATGTCCATACTAAAGTGTGTGTGTGTGTGTGTGTGTGTGTGTGTGTGTGTGTGTGTGTGTGTGTGTGTGTGTGTGTGTGTGTGTGTGTGTGTGTGTGTGTGTGTGTGTGTGTGTGTAGGTCTCAGGACTTGGGGTCAAAGGTCGTCCCTCAGTCTCGTTCTCTGGATAAACCTCAGCTGTACGACGTTGTCTCAAATCACTGACTCACATCACATGATGATTAACTGTGATCAATATACGGAGGCAGCCAATCAGAGAGGAGGACACTGTGACAGCCATTCAGACTGGAGAAATTATACCTATTTTATGTAACTTTGTATAATAATGAAGATAATGATCTGCAGCTGAGGATTATGGGTAATGTAGTGAATGTAACCACACCAATGATAAATCAGTTTGAAATAAAGAGAGCGTCTCGTATACACGGTGCGTTTATTGACACAAAGTGCAGAACAACACAATAACAACAACACGTCTAGAAAACGTTTCTGTACACGTAAAAAACTTTGTGCTGTAAGTCTTTATGGGGGGGGGAGGGCTACACAAATACCCCTTTAATTTATTCAGAAACAAAAGTCCTTTATTCACGTTTATCAGGATGTGTTTTCCTGACGGATCAGATCCGGTTTTCATTAATATTTACTGTTTTAATATTTACAGTTTTAAATACGTAGTTATTTCCTAATGTGTTATTAAAGTCCTTGCTGTGTGAACCTGTCACTTCCTGTTCCTCTGAATATTTTTATATTAGTTAACATGATGATACTGTGAGAATATATATGATTGTTAGCTTCATCGTGCTAACAGCCGTGCTAACAGACGTGTTTTACATGGTGTGGCTACACTTCGAGCTAACAGGTTCACACAGCAGTCAGACTGGTGTTTTTATTATTCACAGATAACATGCTCCCCCCCCTCATGGGGGCAAGGCTCGTCAAACAGAACCACAGAACCTGCAGAACCCTGTACAGATACAGACAGGAACATAAAACCACAGAACCTGCAGAACTCCAGAACCACAGATCCTTCAGAACCACTGAACCTGCAGAACTCTAGAACCACAGATCTTTAAGAACCACAGAACCTGCAGAACCTGCAGAACTCTGATTTCAGGTTGGTGTGGTTCTGACCAATCACAACATATAAACACGACGTCGCAGAAATATAGAAAACAAAGTGCTGATTGGTCCCATCGATTAGTGGGCGTGTCCAGCAGAGAACCCGTCAGACTGAAGGGTCCAGTGGATAAACCGTCAGACTGAAGGTCCAGCGGAGAACCCTTCAGACTGAAGGTGCAGCGGAGAACCCGTCAGACTGAAGGTGCAGCGGAGAACCCGTCAGACTGAAGGTGCAGCGGAGAACCCGTCAGACTGAAGGTGCAGCGGAGAACCCGTCAGACTGAAGGTGCAGCGGAGAACCCGTCAGACTGAAGGTGCAGCGGAGAACCCTTCAGACTGAAGGTCCAGCGGAGAACCCTTCAGACTGAAGGTCC